TTATCAGCTCTCGTTAGCGTGTTGTATTTGTACGTCTTCGTCTTCAGCGCTCGTCGCGGTACCTCTACCGCCGGTAATGTATAAATTATTTAAACACTACCCAAGGCCAACCCAAAATATATTTTATCTACATCATTATGAATAACTCTCGTCGTCCAGCTACTCCTATCACCAAAAAACCTCAATTAATAATTAATAACAATAAACCTGCAAAGAAATCTATTCCGCCGTTAATTATCAGTAACCAGCTATTAAATGACCAAACAGGTGGCAATTCCCCCTCAGACCTCTCTGACAACGAATTCGGCTGGCAAACAGTCCCGTCATCACATAAACACGTCAGATCTCCAAATAACGCATCTCCTGTTGCTAAAAAAGCACCTGACAAAAGTATCTTTATTTCTGAAAATCGTTTTTCTCCGATTGCTCCTCCTACCGTTGATGATCCCATGGATTCAACTGCCACTAACGAAGCAAATACTGAAAACAAAACTTCAAAACCACCTCCTATCTTTATTCATGATAAATTAAATTACAACAACTTCTGCGAAAAAATCATCGAATTAACTGATGCTACCGGCTTTGATTGTAAAAGCTCTACCAAAGGACTTAAACTCCAAACATATAGCCCTGAATCTTATAGATCAGTTGTTAAATACCTCAAGATTAATAATGTCTCATTTCACTCCTTTCAACTAAAAGAGGAAAAAGCATATCGGGTCGCAATCAGAAATCTGCACCACACCACTGATACCTCTTTTATTACACAGGAACTTTTTAACAAAGGATTTGTCACCAGAAATATAACGCCTGTAACTCACAAGTTAACCAAAACTCCCCTACCGATCTTCTTCATTGATCTTGAACCCAGTCCAACAAACGCCGACGTTTTTAAAATAACTTCACTGTGCTACACAAAGGTTAAAGTTGAACCTCCTCATCCAAAAAAAGAAATTCCGCAATGCCACCGTTGTCAGGACTACGGCCACACACGCAGTTATTGCCATCACTCTCCTCGCTGCGTTCGCTGTGGCGAGCATCATGAGTCATCAACCTGCACTAAGGATCGTACCTCCCCAGCCAAATGTGCTTTATGCAGTGGCAACCACCCTGCCAACTTCAAAGGTTGTCAAATTCACCTTGACCTTAAAAAAAAATTATTAGTGAACCCCACCAAAAGAATCTCAAACAAAAGCTCTCCTCCAAGTCAACAAACTGCCTCGAACATCCACGAACATACGCACCCAGGCTACTCTCAAAATTTTCCAACATTACCTCAGAACCCATCTTCTCACGCTCAAGATCACAACTCTTCACAAAACCAAAATATCGCTGCTCAACTCTCCTCATTCATAAATGAATTCAAGGCACTAATTAACCCCCTCATATCACTTCTCACCACAGTCATTGATAAACTTATTAAAAATGTCAACAAATAATGCTCAACCACTCACCATATTCTTATGGAACGCAAACGGCATCACACAACACTTAAATGAACTACAATTAGTCCTCAATGAAAAAAAAGTTCAGATTGCACTCATTACAGAAACTCACCTGACTAAAGCTTCTTCACTCAAGATATTCGGATACGATATGGTCAGAGCCGACCACCCAGATGGTACTGCACACGGAGGTGCTGCTCTACTAATTTCAAATAAAATCGACCATCTCCCTCTCCCACCATATATGTCCTCATACATACAAGCAGCTAGCACATCAATAAAAATAAACTCTATACCTATTTCCATTTCCTCTTGCTATTTCCCTCCAGGAAGACCCTTCCCTTCGGCCGAACTGATTTGCCTCTCCCAAACTCTTAGCTTCACTTATGTTATCGGTGCTGACTTCAACGCAAAATACCAAACTTGGAGCTGCTCCACCAACACCAGGGGTCGTGCTCTAAATAACTTCATCTCGCTCAATCACCTCAAGCTGTTAGCGCCGTCCTCTCCAACCTATTGGCCATCACACGGTAACCGTCACCCTGATACCCTTGATTTTTTTATCACTAATCTCCCTAACCACTTTTCCACTGAAGTCGTAAACCTAAACGATCCAGCTTCTGATCATACACCTGTTCTACTTCTCATCAATGCCCAACCCTCTGGGAAGCAAAATAGACCAACAATTACTCCTGGCTTTACAAACTGGAAAGAGTTCAGAGCCACCGTTTCAAACAAAATTATTCTTAATACCAAATTAAAATCACCTTCTGATATCGACCAATCGATCGCCAAACTCTCTGATCTCATTCAATTCTCTGCCAAGGATGCATCTACCCAGCGCCCACCTTATACTCAAGCACCCAACCTACCACCGGAACTAAGACATCTTATTGCTGAAAAACGCAGAGCCAGATCAAAATGGCAACAAACTCACTACCCTGTAGATAAGACAAAATATAATTATATTTCCAATAAACTTAAGGCCCTACTAAAAACACATAAAGCCAATCTCTACAAAAACCACCTACAAAACCTGTCTTTTACAAATGGATCTCTCTGGCGCAAGACAAAGTCATTACTACGAATTAAAGACTCCCCTCCTCCTCTCCGCCGAGCGGACAACTCACTTGCTTCTACAGACAAAGAAAAAGCAGATATCCTCGCTGAAGAATTATCTGGCGTTTTCAAACCACATATCATTCCTACACCTGCACCACACATGTCGATAGTCATGGAGTCTCTTCAGTCAACTATACCTATGGCCCTACCTACAAAACCTACTTCCCCAGCGGAACTAGCGGGTATTATAAAAAAACTGGCAAACAACAAATCGCCAGGTCATGACCTCATCTCTAATAAAGTCGTCAAAAATCTACCTCTGAAAGCGATCGTTCATCTTACTCATATTTATAATGCTGCCCTTCGGTTATCTTATTTCCCAACCACCTGGAAAGCATCTGTTATTGTTACTGTTCTCAAACCTCAAAAGCCTCCCGAAAACCCCTCCTCGTACAGGCCCATCAGCTTGCTACCAGTCCTGGGCAAAATCCTGGAAAAAATCATTCTCAAGCGTATCACCACCATAGCACAATCCAAAAACAGCATTCCAAACTTCCAGTTTGGCTTTCGTGCTCACCATTCCACAACTCATCAACTTCACAGGGTTGCGGACACTATCTCCGCTGCACTTGAAACCAAAAAATATTGCGCCGGCGTCTTTCTGGACGTTGCGAAAGCATTTGATACCGTCTGGCACGACGGTCTCCTTTTCAAACTAAAAAATATATTTCCAGCCCCTTTATACCTAATACTTAAATCTTATCTTTCCAACCGCTCTTTTAATGTTCGCCATAACTTACAACACTCAAAACAATATCCCATATTTGCTGGAGTCCCTCAAGGCAGCGATATTGCTCCTTTCTTATACACCATATATACGTCTGACCTGCCTACATCCGAAAATACTTTGGTTGGAACATATGCTGATGATACTGCCCTATTATCAGTCTCTTATGACCATACTACTGCATCTCATCAACTACAAGCTCACTTAAATTCTCTCTCACAGTGGTTCACCAACTGGAAAATCAAAATTAATGAATCCAAGTCCTCTTTTGTGACTTTCTCACTCAGACCTCTAAACTGCCCAGCTGTATCAATCAACAACATCATCATTCCTCACTCAACAGAAGTAAAGTATCTTGGTCTTATCTTTGACAGACGCCTTACTTGGTCCTTCCATCTTGATGACAAGCGTAAGAAACTGAACTCCAGACTTCACCTGCTAAGGCCACTGCTTCGTTCAAACCTTACCTTACCTATAAAAATCATTCTCTATAAAACCCTTCTTCAACCAATATGGACATACGGTATAGTAATCTGGGGTTCCGCCAAGAACTCGAACAAGAGAACTATACAAGCTTTTCAAAACATCACTCTTCGTTTAATCACAGGCGCACCCTGGTTCGTTTCCAACGCGACCCTTAACTTCGACCTCAAACTACCTTCCATCGACAATACAGCTGCTACCTACTACAAACGCTTCCACGCTAAACTTCAAGATATTCCCAACCAACTAATCAATGAGCTAGCTTCACTAACACTTCCAGGTAACCCAACCAGACGCCTCAAGAGGAAATGGTGCCGTGATTTGAAAACTTAAGTTAAAACTTATAATTCTAAGAGGTGTCACAAATGTGTGATTTCCTCCTCATGTTATTTCTCTGTCAACTGTGTAAATATTATTAATATTACTTATTGTACAAAAATGTATAGATTGTAATTCTCCAAATAAAGTCAATTATTTAAAAAAAAAAAAAAACTATAACGCCATAGCCAACTTTAAGTCTGCAAGGCACGTTTAAGATAGCATCTTATTTTTTATTCTCATATTTGTAATGCATAGAGTATCATGGTTATTGGTTATGAGAGAAATGGTAAAATAATTGATTAATGTTGAGGTAGGAGCGTGACGTGTGCACAGACTATTATCATGACAAAATAGATTTTGAAATTCTATTTTGACGTACATATTTGTAATTGTGTTATTAATGTATGTCATGGATTATTTTAATCTACAGGTATAGAATATTTAGTTTTTCCTTGTTCGGCATATAGCACAGGCAGGGCCATGGACATAGGACGGGACACGGGCCCGGGGATAATACCATAGTCCATGGAGTAAGAATATAAGGGTAATACCTTGGAGGCTCCACTGTTTTTAACTACTTATCATTAACTTTGTCAGCTAAGTGCTAACTGTTGGGAGTAGAATTTTCGATGTGTTCATAAAATTCTAATTTAGCTTAAAAAAACTACAATGAGCACATAGTTACACGTTTTCGGGTCATCTTAAATGCTAATATGCAATATGCTATGGCGCTATGCTCGGGAGTCGGGGGGAATCCCCTTTCACATTATTTAGTTCAGGCTATGGGCACAGAATACAATGGGTGGGTATAGTCAGTGCTACCGTACTACAAAATCGAATATGTTACGGGCCACGTTTATGATCTTTGTCCGTAAAATAGATAGTTAATTGATAAGAGTTATCATAACGACATAACAACAGACTGAATAGTGAATTACTGAATTCTGATGGCCGTTAATTTAAATGTTTGAATTTTTGTGACAGAATTATTTAGCTTAGTACTATAGATTAAATCTATAGTATTTGCTAGTAGTTAATAAGTTTGCTGCTATCTATTAAAATGGGTGATGTCAATGAAGAAAATGCATTTCCATACGAAAAAACGTTATTGAATACTATTGTGAAAAATGCTAAAGAGACCAAGGTAATAAAATATATAAAATATATAGACTAATTTAAATGGAATGCTGATGTCCATATGATATAACTGAATCAAACAACCGAAATATTTACCAGGTAACTTAAAATATCTTAATTTTAGCATCCAGAAATAAGTGACTTCAATGTTATTAAACCAATCAGTCGAGGAGCTTACGGGTGAGTTTATACTATTTTTTTTGCCTTGCAACAAAATAGTATTAAGGTATTCACCTTTTTTTATTGTCCTCTTACCTAAGTTAAAATTATTATGTGATAATTTAAATGAATATAGTAGATCCAATAAGGTGAAAAAAAATCATAAGCCCTATTAAAATATAGTATGTCAATATTAATTTAATTTTAGATACCTTATATTTTATAATATTTGTTAAGTTTTGTAGATAGTAATAAAGTATTAAAATATACAAATTCAATTTAAACCAGTTATTGAATTTGTCTGATATTAAATTAACTTAACTCTTTTTTAAATTCAGAAAAGTTTATTTGGGTCACAAGAAGAACAATTTGGAACAAATGTATGCTATAAAGGTTATGAAAAAAACTGATATGATAAATAAAAATATGATAACACAAGGTGATTTTTCATAATATTTACTTATTTATTAAATATAAATGATCATAATTTCTTTATATTCTATTATTATTTATTTCAGTTGTTAATGAAAGAAATGCTTTAGCATTGGCGAACAGTCCATTTTGTGTTAAACTGTTCTACTCATTACAGACATCGAGCTGTATTTATTTGGTAATTTAACTACCTGTTTCATATACAAATTAAATGTTCAACAATTGATTATAATTTATAGTTTGTTAAGAATGTCTTAATATTTAAAAACAATTAATGTGCGACTACTGTATTTAATAGTTAATTTTATTTTATTATTGAAGGTTATGGAATATATGGTTGGTGGTGATGTTAAGTCGCTGCTAAGTGTCATGGGCTATTTTTCAGAAGATGTAGCTACATTTTATATTGCTGAAGTTGCACTAGCCTTGCAATATCTGCACAGGTAGATAATTTTTTAGTAGTTGATAAATGATAATTATGTAATTTAATATCTTAGGTACTTAGGTTTAAATGTGTTCATTTTCTTCTAACTTCTTTAACTCTATTATGTGTCAACAACAATTCAATTGCAACTATAATTAAATAAAATCATTTATTCACATTTAAATTCTTAAATACTAAATTGATGTGTTTAAAATGTAAATTTTTAAGGAAATAACACTCAAATACATTTTTAGTACAAAAAATATAATTATTTATATTCATATTTCAGTCACGGTATAGTACATAGAGACCTAAAACCTGACAACATGTTAATATCTGGCCATGGCCATATTAAATTAACTGATTTTGGTCTTAGTCGAATTACAATTCATCGAGGTAAGTAGTATTGATATTGTATACATACTAGAACATGTAATGTAATACATATTGAAATTTTTAGATTTGGAAATAACAGATTTTATAAATAATTCTCCAAATGTTCCTACTAGAACCCCTGGCCAGTTACTATCTTTAACATCACATTTTTCATTTGTAAGTAAAATTAACCTTAACAACAACTAATAATTTATATAATTTTCTTCCAGGAAAATAGTTTTATAATGGTTTAAAAATTGATTTTATGTTTACTTTTCATATAGGGTTCAAATGAGAAAACTTTTGCTAGTGGTGCAAGTATGGGACTTAATATGGATTTAGATGAAGATGATTATAACAGTAGTCATGTGTCTGGAATAGTACCATTTCAATCGGCTAATAATACATTAGAAGGAACTACATTTTATACTTGTCAAAATTGTAGTGTTTCTACTGATTGTGGATGTAGTTTAAATGATAAAGTTCAAGATACTCCATGTTCTACAAAAAATTTTAGGTACCATTGCATAATAATTTTTTTTTTTAACTCTTCAAAGTTTAAATTTTGAGTTGCTTGTGGGGATACACTTCTAGCATAGTTGAAGGAGCATACACACACTTGAGATATAATAGTTTAATGTCTAATTCTCTAATATTTAGTGATTAAACAAAATTATTCAATTGTTGACTGTTTACTCTCGTGTATCAGCCAAAATTTAATTAAAACATGAGTTATAGTATACATACATGAACAAATATGTCCTTCCACCAGTGTCATTATTGACAATGCTACTGAGCTGTATTGAAATAAGCCTTTTAAGCCCAATTATACTCAAATTACCAGCATTGATTGTTATTATGGACGTTTAAGACTAGTTGAAATTTATATTAATATTTAACGAATTTTTACACTGGTTATAAATCTATTTAAACTCCTGAACTAGAATAAGTAATAAATGTCTAATCAATTAGTGTACAAATGACTTCCATCTAAAATATATTTTTAATAGTTACACACCTGTCTTTCTCTATGAGTTATTATTAAAATTATAGTTTAGTGATTATAAGTTATGTAGTTTTGCACATTCTATGTATTTTTTAATATTTATTCATACAAAATTATAAAATTCTGTTACTTTTATGTGAAGTAAAAGATTCAAATCATCTGGTTCTGATTCCTCAAGAAGATATAGACGAAGAATATTACCACTTAGAGATTTAGAAGGTAATACATTAAACAGTTGTGGTCTTACCCAACAAATTAAACAAGTGGATTTGTCAAGCATTGGATCTAATACATCAAGTTCAGCTATTAAAAGTGTTATGAAATTGAAGTAAGGTTATTTAGAAGTTAGTTTTGCACACTAAAAATAACAACAAATTTCCTAAAAAATTTGTTGTAGAGCTGAAGAACGTTTAAGTAGTGGCCGTGTTGCCATATCCACCCCTGTACAATGTTCTCGTAAACGCTCCCACGGAGACACACCAAAAACAATAAAAACTACAAGATTTTGTCTGCCTACACCTACAAAATCGCCATCTTTTTTAAAAGGCTCCCATATGGTAAAAATCAAAAAAGTAAGAGTTAACATTTTTTTAATATTATTTATCTATTAATTACAGGAAGAATTAATTATGAGTCCTATTGCAACTCCATATTTACCAAAGTTAACTCCATATCGAACTCCAAAATCCTTAAGGAAAGGAAAAAGAGCTAGTGATGGTAGAATATTGGGTACTCCTTATTATTTAGCTCCAGAGTTAATTCAAGGGATAGAACATGGTAGTTATATAGTATTTACAAAAATAATATGTACATTTTAATTTATCAAATAAATGTATGATGTAGGATCTGGTGTTGATTGGTGGGCATTGGGTGTTTGTCTGTATGAATTTATGACAGGAGTTGTTCCATTTGAAGGTGACACAGTACAAGAAATATTTGAAGATATTCTTAGACGTGGTAAGTTTAAAAGGTATTTCCAGACATTATTAAGACTTCTTAAAAAACATACTCAATTTTTCAGAACTAGAATGGCCAACTGGAGATCAAACATTATCTAGAGAAGCAATGGAAGCAATAGATAGTTTGATGGCAATTGATCAAAATGAGAGATATTCAGGTTCTGAGTTGAGATCTTCTACAGAATTATTTTCAAATATTGATTGGGATAATCTTTTAAAAGAAGTACCTCCATTTGTTCCAACACCTGTTGGCATAGACGATACATCATACTTCGTAGCACGAAATGAACAACAAAATATCCAATTATCAAATATAGATCTAGGATAAATCAATGGTACTTTTGAAATTAATTTTATTTTTTTAACTAAGAATTTTTTTGTGATATTTAGTTTATTTGCACAACTATTTTATTGTGGAAACCAAACCATATTTTGTTTATACACATTTCAATATCTTATATTAGATATAAGTATAAATAAAAATTAGTTTTAATTAAAATTAGGATATTTTGTTTATACACATTTTTTATTTTAGTTATCACCTTAAATAAATAATCGTTTTTAATTACTTTTAGAATACCAATGTTCTTTCACACTAGTAAACTACTTTTTAATTGTATATATTCGATTCAACAAATTAACTAACAATATTTATAAGATTTTATCATAAGTACATTTCCTATGCAGTATGCATAAATACTAGTATTATATCATTATATATTTCTCTAAAATTCAACTTAAATTTATATTAATTTAAAAATATATGTTTAGTCTTCGTCAAAAAGCTAAGATCAAATTACATTTTGAATAGTATTGTTAACTATCAAATAATTTATCAAACACTTCGTCAGGAGTCAATACTTTAGTTGTTGCAAATTGGGATCCAAGTAATTTCATTATTTCACCATGCTTTGATAAAGGATTTTCTCTTTTTACTCGGCTATAATTTTCTTTTACAAATATAGCAAATGTTGATAGTTTTTTAGGGAGTTTAGGCTTTTCTTGTACATCATTTAAATTATATAATTCTTTCAAAGGGTCCTCATGAACAACTGGAAAATTGTTATTATGGATTGGGTTATTATTAATTTTGTTTTTGATTAATTCAAATTCTCCATAACAGTGTCCACATCTTTTTTTCTCCAAATTTAATGATTTTGAATGACGCCCAAAACTGAAATAAATAATAAGTTAGTAAGTGACATGTTTATTGTGTGGAGACATAGTATTTAGTTAAATTGTAACATTTATTGTATACACTTAAGAATATTTGTGTACATAGGCTTTCAAGACCATGGAACATGGCACTAAGGGGGGAATCCACTAAGCCAGTGGATCCCACCCTTGGTATGGCTATAGAGCTCTCTTGGTAATGGCTGACAGAACAGTTTAGAATGTAAATTATAAAGACCTACATGGGCCGGGCTTACTCAGACTAGCCCGGAGTAAAATAAAAGTTATGGGTAGGGCTTTCCTTAAATCAATTCCAGGCCTGGCTTTTATGAAAAATTATTTTATAAAATTCCAGCAGGATCCAAATTATAAACACAAAAAAAACATTATATTATCGAATATAAATAATAGACATGTACAAGTGAAGTTTGATGAAAATGTACTTGTTATCTTTATTATGAAGAACAGGGCCGTATTACCGCTTAGGCTGTGTAGGCTACAGCCTAGGGCGGCAATTTTTTTTTTGGTGTGACCCAAAAACTACGTAGAGATATTAGTAAAACATCAATACCTATGTAAATTAAGCGGTAAATTTATTTCAGCCTATGGGCGGCAAAAACCTTAATCCGGCCCTGATGAAGAACCTATAAATAAACTATAATAATGTAAAATAACAACAGGACTAGATGCATGGTGATGACATTGACTATCAATAAAGGTTTGATTAACTGGATAACGGGTAATAGTCCCCAGACCCACTGAAATGCAATAACTAATTGTATCTAAAAAAAAATATATATAATCGGGCTGGGATTACTCGCCTAAAACTATTCTTAGGCCGGGCCAAGCGGTCAAAAAAATATTACTAGGCCTAACCTGACTAAATTATCAGACCGTGCAAACCTCTAGTAAATACTACCAGGCAGAATTTAATCTTAAAAAGCTTGTCCATTCATTATATTTAGTGAACATCCCAATGAATGATCACAATATTCATATATTCATTCCCTAGTGTGCATTACTACAATACCATACTATAAATTATTGAATCACATACCACAATATTTATGTTTAAGTATAAAATAATATATATAAATACATGTAGGAGAAACTAATTGATAAAATTACTGACCTATAGCCACATTTTACACATTTGTATGTAAATTTAGTTTGTATGTCATAACTATGGCATCTTTTTATAATTGGGAGTTCTGGAAACTTTTGCATAGCTTTATTTGCCCAGCTTTTCCATGCTGGGCCATGTCCTTCTGAAATACCATTAAATATCCAACAAGCGGCATGGCAAAGTTCATGAATTAATGTATCTCTTAATCTTTCAGCTGTATCAATAATCTGTAAAATAATATATATTTTTATGAATAATTAAACAGTAAAGTTTCTAATAATTTTATTAGAAGCAAAATAAATAAAATAATAAAAATTTACTTTAGTAGAAAGTTCGATGCGAGAAACCCTTTCACATTCTAGATTTTTGTTTATTTTGACTGAACGCTTATTGAAACACGCACCAGCAGTTGACCTTAATCGTGCATTCCATTTGAAATTCATATCAGCAGGAAGCTAGTAAAATAAAATATACTTCTAAATATAAAATAATAACATAAGTTCATAGCAGAAGGAAAGTAATTGATAAAATGTGTGCTTAAATAACAAATACGACAAGAGAAAAGAATTCTACTTAAAAAAGTTTGATCAACAAATAATTGTTCAACCTAACAACCTCCCAAAAGACATTTATTACTCTGCTCGACTTTTCAATGGGAGAAGAACATAAGTGGGTTTATTTTGAGTATGGTGATGATAGAATGTGGCTATGGTATTAAAGTACCTTACTGTTTTCATAGCTTAGTGGTTAATCAATTGATTAAGGCTTTTTGGAGGAAATAATGAGACCATTGAGATTCTTCTTATACTGAATACAGTCATTGAAGATGGCATGTAATGTCAGAATTACAGAAATGGTCGAGTTTATATTAATAAGTAAGAACCAATTATAATATTATCATGAAATACATTTACCTCATTGTCAAATACTTCTTTGTTGAATAATTTAAATAATATTGACACTAAATCATCTTTGTTTTTTTTAAACTTTACTTTATACTTTTGAGCTTCAGGATCACACTGCATAGATCCAGTAAAACCTGAAATATTGTACACAATCAATGAATAAAATGTTGTTTTTTCATGTCATATTATTATGTTAATAGGGTTACAAAATATATACAAACTCATCAAAATAAAACACATACAGTTGGACAAAAAATGGAAAATTATTTTAAGCCCATCAAAAAGCATGGTAGTTGTTTATAGTTAGTCAATCTAAAACTTTTACCACAAACTTAAAGGTGACAATATTTCTTGATCAATAAGTATAAGATGCCTCGTAGTTATTCTAGAACTTGAAACGTATGCTTCAAATGTACAACAGTTATTAAGAGACATACAATATTCTATTTCTTAAGTAAATGAAAAACCTCTCAATAATCTCTTCATACAGATTTTAAGCAATTCCCAATCAAACCTTTGCTATTAATCAACCTCTTATGCCAATTAAAACATGCCAGCCAGCATCAGGCATACTTAACACAACATTAACTACATTTTGTCACATCAAACAAGGACTCCACATATGATTTTCATATATTAATAAAAATAATAATGAATGTTAATTTATTATAATATCATTACTATTATTTTTTTTTATTATTATCATTATTTCAATCTTTAACTATTAAGTATTATTATCTAACTTGAGTAAGTTCTCTTTATTTTTAAATAGTAAGAATGTTATCTTTTGTTAAATAATGTTGAAGGTAATAGATTGTTCTATTGTACTAGCACCACCATATTTTGATGAAATTAATGTGTATAAAATGAAGAAAAGTTCTTGGTAATAACATACAAAAAACAGTAATAAGAAACTTTATCGGATACTATAGAGATCACCAAATGAAACTGTAACTGTGTTTTTCTTTGGTATAGACAATTATCAAGAAACTTAGTTTGTTACCCAAATTACACTGTCTATAGTTGTATCTTTTTTAACCTTAGACAGTAGATTAATTAATTATGACATTGCGATTATTTATCTACTTTTAACTTAAAGTTAAACTTTAAAAATAAATATTCTAAAAATACTTACATGATAGAGAACTCAAAAATGATAGTGTTGGTTCTAACTTAGATTTAATTGGTATTTTAGATTGTAGATTTTTGTGAGCATCAATTTTTTTTATATCAGTATCTTCTTTCAATTTTTTGTCTTTATTAGTTTTCAAATTACTCAGTTGGTTTTCATTTGTATGATGCTTTGAAGACCTACAAAAATAAATTATTCTGTAGAAGTCAAATTTCATGGTCTTCATTTGAGTTCTATTAGTTCTTTTAATGGTATACAATTATTTGAAACTTTTATGTAAGCTTAATTTTTTTTATGCTTGTTAAAGCTTCAGTGCCTATACCCCATTCATAAGAATATTAACTTGCACCTTTCTATTTATTAATACATTGTTATTTACTTACTTATAATCTATTTGACTTCCAGAAGGATGAATAATATTTAATTTATCAGTTATATCATTGGATAAACTGAAATTTCTACAGCAACAAACACAGAATATTATATTTAAATACATCTATGATAAAAATTAAATTCTAAAATAATATATAATTTTTTGTAGTTTATTACTACCAAAATTAAATTAAATTTTATAATAAAAGCTATAAACAGTTCACTTAAATAATGACCAATTATTAACTAAAGGACATAATCTACCATAGGGTTGAGTAACATTTTTAGAATATTTTAGCTTAGGTGATGTTTTTTTTTTTAGTTTCAAGTATAATTTATAATTTATTGAAATCTGTTAAAAAAAAATATAACCCTATGATTGATACATAGGATTTACATTAATAATTGTTGATTTGGAAAATCGAGTTTTTTTAATGATCAGTTGTGAATTGTTGTTCTATTGAGTGCATTCTGTAACAATGTGTTATATACATATTAGGTTGTTTTAAATGAAACATACTCTAAAATTATTGAAGTATCGTCCACTTTATTTTGAATATTGTATTCTTCATGTTTTTTTGAAAATTCACGAGATAATGCTAAAATATAGTTCAGAATATTTTAACATTGAAATATCATAAGCTAAGAAAATTAAAATAAATATTACTTACAGCGTTTAATTTCATTGTCACTTTTGCTTGAAATATTTTCATTATAACACCTAAAACAATTTATTTGTTATGAAATTGATTTTATAATATATATATATATATATATATTATGAAATCAATGGTTATGGTGTACCTAGATAGATTAAATAAAAATTATATAAAATAATGCAACTAGTTCAAATTGAAATCAGTTATTCTTTGTTGCATTAAAATTTAATAATTTTCTGAAATAGAATATAACACTTAGAGAATGTATTATGGATGTAAACCATACCAGTTTCATGCCTGTGTATTAGATTTTATTTTCAAAATCATTATAAAGTTAGAGCTTTGGTTATTGCTGTATATGCGTGAATGACTGATAATTCAATCAGAATAACCAAACTTAATTGAGTACATACACACAAACAGTTCAGTTCTAGGTTCATTAATTGATAATGTATTCATTATGGCATCAAGAATAAGCCTGATGGCTACATCTGTGTACATAATCTAAGGTATAATTTAAAGTAATCATATTAGTCTAATTGTTTATATAATACTTACTCATTATAATCTCCATAGAGTTCATCGCTTAAATACTTTGTTTTTGAATTCTGAAGTACTCCATCAACACATCGCCATTCTTTACCATAGATGCGGTCTAATAGTTTAGCAGATTCTGAGAGATGGTTGCTTTGAATATGCTTTTTAACTGGTGTAGTATAACTATTTTTAAATTCATCTTTGCTTTTGATTTTAGTAAAGCTGCCTTCAGTACAAGACAAATCTTTTGAATTAATATTTTGAATAGGGTTTGAATGTAAACTTGTAAATGATTTGAAACTATCATCTGAACCAGAACTGATACTAAGAATTGACATATCAAAATTTATACTTTTTTTTGATTCTATGTCCGATTCTTTTGGAAAATCAATGTGATCAGCATTAGTATTATCATTTGATTTTTGTTTAGAATTAATTTTTGTTTTTGATCTGGGTTTAAATGTATCAAATAATTCTAAACTAGAATCAAAAAGATTATAATTTTCTTTATCTGACTTATTTTTTATTGATGTTTTGATTCTACCAGAGTTTTCATTCATTAATTTATTTTCTACTTTTTCATTTTGTTTTGGCTTGGTATTAAATCGCACTAGACAAAGAAATTAAAGAATTATTTATAATTTAGAAACATTTATTTTTGTAAAGCAGGTACTTACTTTTAGCTGATTTTTTCATTTTGATCTATTTTGTAAAAATAGGTCAGGTAGTTTCTTTTATCGATGGTATAAATCAATCAGATTTAGATGTTTATATATTATAACTAAAAACTACCACAACACTGCACAAGATAAACTTGGTTATTAGAACATTTTCAGTTAAAAATGCTATAAATATCAAACAAATAACTAGTAATTGAATAATTCATAAAATTATTTGATTAAATGGTTTCTTAGTTGTACATATTTGATGTAAAGAAAACAATTTTCAAATCCAGTCAAGAAAGACGAAGTTAGTATTAATGTTTATACTGTTCACTGGGTAAATGACAAATGTAATTGTGAATTCGTAAATCGTAACGACTGATTATAAGATTGAGTCCTAATCCTAAATACTATCGATAACTGAATAGTGAATAATGAAGATGAACTATTATACTTCGTACTTCACTACTTTAGTAATATAAAAAAACCGTTAAAAATAGTCATGTTTCGTGATTAATGTTGGTTACACTGTGATAACAGATTACACTTTTGAAAATGTTTTGTTAGTTTCCACTGGTGTTATCAAGGTATGTTTAATAACAATGGGTGTTATTATAAACATTAGACATTCAGACGAAAGTACAAGACACAAGTTGTAGGAACCATATAGTAAGTAATAAGTATGCAACACTGAACACAATGATATAACTACGCAATGCATATTATTCCATTAAGTCGAGACTGTGCCGTAACTGTTCCGTAAAAGTATTGCTAAATCACTCGTTTGTTTATAATTGTCATCAGTCATCACGGACTATAGTCTTATACAAATTAAAAATACTTAATAATAAATATTACTACTATTAGGTCTTCTAAGGTCTAACTTTCAAAGATCACAGACCGTGGTTGTTATTAGTTATTACTGTTTTATTGGTGAGTGGTGGTACATATACTTTAATTGTTCTCATATACAGTGCTTTACCTCCGTCCAATTATTGAAGTATACTAAACGACTGAAAATAAATTTGATACCCACATTTACAAATATAATTCTATCTAAAATCGTGATAAAAGGACACCTAGTAGAAGTCAGAATAAAATAAAAATTAATCTTAAATAATTATAATGGACTTGTTTCTAGGCGGATAAGTGTATTTATTTATCTTATAGTAATATAGTATTTTAAATCGTTATTAGGAGTCATTGACCTATAACTTATTGAATATATTAAACTTATTGAATATAGTTAAAAAAAGCTGATTGACTATCCAATGACTAAGGTTATAATTATTTAATAACATTTGACAGTTAATGCTTATGTCAGATTTGTGAAATTTGGGTTTGGATGCCGTGAACAGTAATAAGTAATTTTAAAATGTTAATAAAATAAAGTCTAATGAATGTTTCAATTTCAAACCATACACCTAATGGCTACGTTCAGATGTAGGCAACAACGTGAAATGGGCCACAAATCACTATATATTATCAAAATAATATTAACGTGCCTTCGTTGAATTTTTCAAAACCCCTTGAAATCATGATCATCCCAACGGATCGAACTTGATACCGACAGTAAACCAACAATTCCTCAAAATTAGATAAGACTTGAATCTTAATAAGTCTTATCTATCAATGAACTATAAATCTATTCCCTGTTGATTGCTTTAAGCTTAAACATTAAGGAACTCAAATTACACTATCTCTGTAAGTCTTGTAATATATTATTTTATTAAGTTCACTTATTGTAAACGTTAGTTTTTCCCAAAATGTTATGCCTATTTAAATCATGAATTCAGTCCAGTTGTAGGTTTGGAAATTAAAATCTCTCAGCTAATGCTATAATAATCTATGGTCTATACTTTACTCTCCTCAAAATCAAATGGTTTGATACTGAATGACATTAAAACCCAACAACATAGTGTCTAAACCATTAGGCCATGGCTTAAAGTTTAAACTATTTATTGATAATAACACTCATGTAAATAGCGGTTGAATGACCCATATCTTGTGGAAGCCTATGAAAATTTTATTAAAACTCTACGTTGTACATACGTTTTAATGAATATATACATAAAATACAAATGTATAACGTAATATATTATAATATAACGAGAATCGTTCACTCAAAGGTTTGAAAAATCACAAAAGCGCGGGGTCTAGTGGTAGGTCGGACCACAGAACTCGGACTGGACATTTGGTGTCACTGGTTACGGTTCATACCGTTGCTCCGTGTCCGTATTCCCCGTTTTCAGTTTGTGATTGTCGCCGATCATGTATGGTAGCTTTGCGCGTCCGTGAAACATGTGCTGTCCGCTTAACGTTGGCCGACCGTCGATGTTGTTATTATTGTGCATCCGTCTGTCTGATTATAATGTCAAATACGTTTACTGTTGAAAAAAAATCGGAAACCAAATCCAATCCTCAGCACTCGCCCACCGTCCGGGTACAAGCCGAATTGTTCGAACCCACCGACAACAGATATCCGGTGTTCAATTATCAGAAGTTACTCATCGAAGAGGTAAGTGCAACGAAGTCGAGACCATACATGTTAGCAATGCACGCATATATACCTTTTACACACATATATGCACTCACACACGCACTAACACCCGCGTATCCCCCGCGTAGGTACGTATTGCAAATATTCAGTAACGAGCGATCTACGTGTAATATCGAAGCGTAAACTCAATTATTATTGCATTATTATCAGACGATGATTGTGAATCATGGCACGTCGTATCTACGGGTTCCGTAGGTAGGTGCAAACGTCGAGATCGTCGGTCTATCAATCAAACGTTCTTGTAGATTCGCGGTTGACGAATAATGACCGCTGGTCTTGTCGCTATCGCCACGATAACAGTGTGGCGTCGTCGCGTCCTCCCGATTCACGATGATGATACCCACGACATCCCGACTTTCCCCGTTGTGTACTCATCGGTACGACTCGATGTGTCGTGTCCACGCGCTGTGTATGCATCTCATTGTGTGTGACTGGCCGTTTTCAAATCCTCGTTGCATTTTCAACTAATTTTTGGCAAAAGTAATGACTTCCGAGATTATTTTTCTTTTTTTCCGCGGGGTCGTACTTTTATTTTTCAATAGCATTGAATTGAAATTTCGTAGACTTACTAAAAATATCTAGATTTTTTTTTATTTTGAGCATCCAGAAAAATGTAAAAATCAAAGTATCACATTATAATGCTGTGTCTTAAAATATTTTATTTATTGTTAATATTTTAATTTTTTTTTTTGAGTACCAACCTATGTTTATCTTTTTGGTAGGTTTTATTGTTATATTTATTAATGTGGAACGTTTTATCACCAAATAAACAACAATGTTTTGCTTATTTGAATAGTATACCTACTATTATATAAAATATATTTGTTGGGTTAGTTTTTTCAAATTTTTGAAGAATAAAATTATCAGATTAAAAAATACTGTTATCCTAAATTATGATCCGTATCTACAATTTATAATTTTCCTACAACTTTTTTTTTAATCTTCCTATTTTTGCTAGTAAACATTTAGTTACTAAGAATATATTTTTTTAAATATTAGGTAGAATATATCTAAGCAATATAAATTGACCTAGCCCACCTTAGTTTCCCAATGTCCTGACATAATGGCATTACCACTTGCCCCTTTCCAAATTGTGTTCATGTTAACTTTATAACATATATTTTTAGCTGACTAACAAAATTTCATTTTTTTCCCCTAGAATTATTATATTCCGAAAATGTTGTTACTCTTTGTGAATTAATGATTGTTAAACGTATCTAGTTATTTCTTTACATACTTATGAAGTGTTTAATGGAAGAATTTTACTAATTTCAAAAATTTTAAAAACTGTACATCTGCATCAGATTACTATACATTTTATATTTGCCATCATCATTAGTAATTATTAATGATTTTCATGACTTGTGTAAAAAATTCTTCCAAGATTGTTAAATACAAAACTAGGTACCTACAGTCAGCCTTTTAAATAAATTGTCTTTGTTCTTAATATAGGTACATACAAATAATAATTGAAAATACTACCGTCCTAGATTATTTTTCTCTTAATGTACTAATTAAAACTTATTATACTTATGGATAGATTTCTGACATTTAATTTTTTTTTTTATGTTTGCATTCTAATGTCTTGAAAAAAATACTTTTTTAATTTAAATATTTCTCTTTTTAAACTTTTTATAGGGTATATACCTACATTTATTTTCTTTTTAACAATTTACAATTAATTAACTGTATGATAACCAAATACAAATAAATCAAGTACAGGGTCTGGTATTGTATTCAAGTATATTATTATTATTTGTTACACATTTAGTATAATCTGTTTTCATAATATTGTTATTTGTTAGTGCACATTTCTACTATCTATCAGTGTAGCCACACATTTAAGTGATAAATAAAAACATTTAATCATTAAATGATTTAGTAGTTGGCAAGGTGGGTGTAATAATATATCCACTTTGGTACCCAATGGTGGGAAATTGTTGATCCATAGATAATTTAAATTTAATTTAAAAAAAGTAAAATTCTCTTTTGTTAATGATTCAAATTTTTGTCATAAACCACCAGAAAAAAGAATGGACTATCAATATAGTTTTGTATTTGCTGCTTTTGGTTATGTGCAAATGTCTAACCTATTATTTAATATTTAGTATAGGCAAACAAGTTGCAGGGGCATACTTAATTCCAGTTTAAAAATGGCCACATGCTACCTACCACCTTTCAAAATTATTGTAAATATTCAACTGTTATTTTAAAAGTTTATTAAATATTGTTCATAATCTTGATAGATGTATTAGTTATTATTAGGGTTGGGATTTATATGTAATAAAAAACCAAAAATATGTACATATATATGTAATTAAAATTGCCAAAATATGTAGTATAAAATAAAAAATATGTAGTATAAAATAAAAAATATGTGGTATAAAATAAAAAATATGTTCATAATTGAAATACAATAAATTGATGTTTAATCAATTGTAAGGGAAACAATGACAAACCATATATTGTTTTAAATTTTCAAAATTAAATGTACGGCGATTTGGTCTTAACACTGACTTATACCTACTAAAGGAGCGTTCCACATCACAAGATGTTATCGGTCCATACTTCATAGCTGTTATTTCACTAGGTGAAAGATTGAGCTCCATCGTGTCTTCATCCGCAATACCACAAAGAATGTTTCTTATACATTTAATGGTCTTCAATCCCAAATTTCTTTTCCCTTGGAAATTGATGCTGCATGTTCAGAATCCAACATAGATACTATATTTTTAATTTCATCATAAAATTTGGAATAATAGTTTACGGCTTGTAACCATGTCCCCCACCTTGTTATAATTGGCTCTGGAGGAAGCGGGATGTTTGTCAAAAATTACGAAGTATGTAAATAAAAACGAAAATTTTACAAAGTATGTAAAAAATATGTATTTATGACGAAATATGTAAAAATATGTAAAATAAAATATGTCTTATTTTATTGTAAATCACGTGAAACGAATTTATCATTTGCAATAATTAATTTATCGTGTTTCACTAAAAATATGTATTTACATACAAATCCCAGCCCTAGTTATTATAAAGTTAAATGTGAGACAGATACTTATATTTACTGGATTACAAAAAAAAAAAATTAAATTTAGTAGGTACTCTACTTTTATTTTTTGATGGATTAAATTTTGTTATGGGAACATCCTAGTTCAATTTAATTTGCTATTAAAGATTTACAAATTATGAAATAATATATTAATAAAATTAGATAAATTCTATATTTTTAAATTCCTTTCATATTCTATTTATCCGTCCTTGACGTTTCCGATAGGTACAACAATTGATTTAGATACATGAAAATGCACAAAAAAAAATATCTGCTGAATAATTAAAAGTGGAAAAGGGGTAAGTCCTTATTTGGAAGACAGAAATTTGTATTCTCACAGGATCACCCTTAAGTGGTACAAGGAAATCTCAAGTATTCAAAATGATTGTCTTCAAATATATTTAAAAATTCCAAAAATCTGAATTTGAATAAATGCATTATTAAAGCATAAAAATAGGGCGAGCATGCCTTATAAATCATCCTGTTTAATAAAGTGATAACAATGTCTTGTTTGTTTAT